AATTTCAGTTTTTAGAACTATTTTCAATCTATAAAATTAGTTTATTTAAATTTCAGTTTACTGCAGCAGTCTGCAGATGTTAAAAGACAAACATGCTTCTTATTATAACCTCCAGTCGTTTGTTCCACCTCTTCTGCTACAGAGGATTACAGGATGGTCCATAAACTTCATGAATTTCCTCTTCGAAAAAACAAACAACAATTTAGTGTTAATGTTGCTTATAAAAGTTAAATATAAAAATACAGACATATTGGTAAGTTTGTTATTTTATATGAGGAAATTAATAATTATAATAGGGGCAACATTATCTAAAAAATAAATACTTGAAACATTTTTGTAGGGAAAAAATCATAATCATTAAAAAAAAATTATATAAGAAAAATGCAAATTTTGATTGGGTAAAATTATAAATGAAATTACTGACCAATATTATTTTGGAGGAAATTTTATTTTGTAAGGTGTATAATACTATGATAAAATTTGAAATATGTATATTTGTTGTGTAAATTTATAAATTTTATTGCTTAAATATATATATATATATATATATATATATATATATATATATATATATATATATATATATATATATATAGAAAGTAATAATTATAATGAGGCAACATTATCTAAAAATAAATGTTTGAAATATTTTTGGAGGAAAAAAATTAGGATCAATAAAAAATTTATATATGGAAAATACAAATTTAAATTGGGTGAAATTATGAATGAAATTAATGATGATTAAATTGGTAGGATACGGTTGAATCCGATTTTGAAAAGTTTAAATTTTATAAAGGAAGCGCATAAATCATCAAAATAATTTTTTTTCTGGATATAAGAAAAATAGAAATTTAAATATGATAAAGGAACGTATAATAAATGAATGTTTGAAATATTTTTAGAGTGAAAAACCCAGATCATTAAAATTTTTTGTATAATTAAGTGAAATTATAGATGAAATTAATGGCGATTAAATTGATATGTTACTATTGGAATCCAATTTCGGAAAGTTTGAATTTAATATGATTCACAAAGTGTCATTCACATTTGTCACAAACCGGTCTAACACTCGAAAACCAAACATATTCTTCTTTGACATCATTTCATAAAGGACCACGTCGAAGACGGGAACATTGACGTTCATTTTATCAAGACAACGTATCAACTTCAAGACATTTTCACAAAAAACTTTAGATGAAAAATAATTCTTAAGGATTTTGAATTGATTAGGAATGATGGAAACAAGCTTACTTCCATGTTCCTCATGAATTTGTCATAAATTCTAACTTTTACCTTACTTTCGATTATTTTGACTACTTTCGATTAGTAGATATATCATATATGTGTTTTAACTCAAATTCGATTGTTTGTGTTTCATTCAGAGGATACTGTTCACGTTCAACGTTCAACTGTGTTTGCAAATTCTCTCTGAACCATTTTGAATTTGATTCTATTTTGGTACAAGTTGTTCAATGTGTAATCCATGATTGATATCTTCTATCTAATAGGTCGAACGTATCGCGGTAACATTTTATAGTTCATTTATTTTTGTTTATTATTTTTCAACAATCAAAAATCCAAAAAGATTTCCTTATTTTCTGTGTTTGATTTCTAAAAACAAAAATCCAAAAAGATTTTCTTATTTTTGTACTTGATTTCTAAAAACAAAAATCCAAAAAAAAATCTTATTTTTACACTAGATTTCTAAAAACAAAAATCTAAAAAGATTTTATTGTCTGTATTTTTCTCTTTGATATTATTGTCTAACAGTTCATGTCTCATTGTAACAACATGATGCTGTGTTGCATGCTAAACAAACATATCCATCAAGGGAACAAGTATTTAGTCGAACTGATGTACTAGTTAATCGTCCCTATAAGCATATTGATACATGTTGTCCACAAGCCTCACAGACTCTATATGTTTGAAGCCTTAATGGAACTCTCATTATGAAAGTTTCTTCCCAATTAGGCTAGATTCACATTAGTCGAAGAGCTACCTCTCTCTTCTCATATTGAGTAAAGAGATTTATATAATGTCCATATTTTTACAGAGCTACAATGAGTTCTTATACCCAATCTTTTTCACCAAAATTTCTTTCATGATCACACACTACAGTTCATATCCTCGACATCTCTGGTCGAAACCAACCAAAATGTAGATATGACAAAACTCTGAGTTTATGATTCTAACTCATTCTTCTGTGATGATGGTGAAACTCAATGAACCCAATTATCAATGAATTGACGGTGAACTTTTTTATTCAAGATTTCAATGAAAACACTTGTTTTTGTATGTTTTAGATATTCAAACTCACATTTCATTCGTGTTGTGTGATATTGATGAAATGTTCTAATACCAAGACACTTTTGCCCGACAAGATCCAGTACTTCATTTTTTATTTGGAAATGTGATTTTTGTCTGAATATATTTCTGAATTCTTGTCATTTAAAATCATATCCAACCATACTAGTTATTAACTGCACTGGTCATCCAAGTAATTTTGCTCAATTGGATCACACTTCTGTAAAGTTGTGGTGTTGTGCAAAATTGAACCCACCTTTCGAAACTAATGAAAAAAATCCCTCCGATGATCAGCAACGAGTGGTCGATTGTAATTCACAGGATACCACACAAGTAGTTCGTCATCTCTCTTGATGTCGAACGAAGAGATCTTTGTCTGGGATCATTCTACTTTCGTATAAAAAATAATTGATATCACAATATCCACATTTTTTTAATTGCTTCTCTTTCATTCTTTGGCACACAAATGCATTGAAATCCTTGAGGTTTCGCGTACTACCAACTCGAAAGTTAGATTTTGCAACGACTGGCATATGATTTCGCTTTCAAATTCCAAAAGTGAATAAACCATCCTCCCATGCCAAATGAATGATGAACAAAACGTACTTGGTTGTAGTTCGAAAAATGTGATGGTTCTTATCTTGTTGGGAATAGTGAAAGATCTTATGTACATGATAGATCAGGATTTTCACGGGATTCAACGAAAACATGGTGATTACTTTTATGACGTTCAGCTTTTTACGGTGTCGGTTAAGTAGACAACATAATATGTGGCAGTGTATTATTGGATAGCGATTTAAATTCAAAAATACTGCAGATTATAAGAGGAAGTTGATGTTTACGTTATCAAACTTTATGCTCTCATATCAATTTTCCAAGAACCCCAAGTTGTTCATCGTTTTCAAACACATCTGCATCCTCTGCCATAGTTGCTCCTCATATTCAACTACAGTAAATGAAGAAGACGATTCTCAACCCATGACGAAGATTCAGAATACCAATCCTTTTTGGTTCCAACGATTGATCAGTATCCGGAGCCATTACAAATACTTGTTCAAACCCTAAACAACTTCGTATTAACAATAGCATTGTCTTCTTCATTCGCAGTTCCAATGAAATGGATTTCTCTTGCTGGTTTCACTATTGTCTTCAACAAAACAATGAAGGTGGTCACATTTCACTTGACGAATTCAAAAACAAGGAAGATTATGAGGAACCAATTTGCCCAAATCCTGAAGTCGCCATTATCATGTACCTTTTATTTCGACTGAACAGGTGCTTCATATATTCAATGAAATGGGGAATCAACCAATTCTTACTGGGATAAGTCATTTTAAAAAGTCCAGTCTTCCTTAAATATGGAGTTTTTTCTTTGGGATCATGTTACATTGCTTAACAGGACGAAGCTCAAGGCTAGACAAAGCCAAACTTGAAATATATTCAGTCATGCCAGGACTGTACTATGGTCTGATTGTGGATTATGCCACACATCTTTGGGAAGAGTTTTGAACTGAAATTACTCACAACAATCTTGCTAATGGTGTTTCGATTGCTCGTTATTAGAGTATGATTTTGCAAGAGGTTTATCGAAAAGAGGTGATTTTGGTTCCTTCTGATGTCAAAACTATTGAGTTTCCAACTATGGTTGCCCCCAATGATATTTTTTGATGATCCAGCCATGTTTCCAGCTAATGCTTACATTCCTAATGCAATGCTCAAGCTTGTTGATCCTAAAAATCTGCTTCTTGTCCAATATTTGGCTTCGACTGACTTTACTATGATATATTGTTGTTCTTCCACGAAAGGGGCTGAAGGTTCTTCTAAATTTTCTAAAGCTCCAAAGAAGAAGAAGCAAGTTGAGAAACCACCAACAGCAGAGGAGGATGTTATGAAAGAAATTATTCCTTCGAAATCAGGAATTCTAAAGAGAAAAAAGAAACCAACGAAGAAACCTACTGATTCCCTAGTCAAGAGACATGTGCATGAACCTGAAATCAAAAATACTAAGCGAACACATGTTGATTCCTCAAATACTCTTTCTTCTCAGAGGGGTATCAAGAATATTCAAAAGCCTCAGTTCAACATGAAAGGTGTTTTGTTTCGAGAAGTATCTATTCCTATTTCACCTGCATCGAAAAAGTGCCAAGCCCTGGATATGGCTCAGAAACTGAAAAACAAGAAACAAAAGCACCAGGATCCACTTGATAAAGTAACCATCAAAACTGATCATACCAGTGAGGCAGTGACAGTGGAAGATCAAACATTTTCATAGAAGACTCTATGATTGGATCACCTCGAAGGGATTCTCCTCTCAAGTCAAATTTCGACGTGACAGGGGATCCTGATGTCAATGTAAACATATCTAGTCTGGATACAAACATCAATTTGAATGATTGATAGCCAATATCCATCCCTGAGAAGACAAAGGTCATACCATCCGTGGTTTCACAAACCAAGTCCAATACAGATGAGGTTCGAACTCCATACATCCCTGCGTTAACACGGATGAAGGGATACATAACAATGAATTCTCTATTACTTCTACCTTTGAAACTTCATCCATCCACACTTTAACCATCATGCCATCTACAATCCAAACTTCTACAGTTGAAACCTCCACAGCTTTACCACCAATTTCATCACCCTTAACAACTTTAGTTCCAGTTTCAACCATCTCACCAAAATATTCTACTATCATGCATGAATCAATTACCACTCTCTTTTCTTCTCAATCCAATGAGGCTGAAAGAATGATTCATGATGAAGAACCTAATGACGACGAGATCATGGTTCCCTTTGCTGATCTTCAGTTTTATCCTAAGGAGGAGAATGTTCCTGATAACTTAATCATGTCAGATAAACAGTTCAAGATCCTCAACTCAAAAAAAATTATCTTCTTCAAATACAAGCAGACAAAATTTTATGACTAGTATTAGAGTATTTGTTGAAAGCTCAAGAAAATTATTTTTGAACCTTAATTGAAGGTATTAAGCATAACCAAGCCGAAAGGTTAGCAATTCATTCCAAGAGCTTTGACTATGATATTCAGAAGCTTCGTGACGTTGCAAAGGAATATCATGAACTCATTGTTGAACAAGTGACAAAATTGAATGAATCTATGGATCTCAAAGTTGTTGGCCTCAAATCCAAGTTGTCAAAAGAAGTTCAGAAAGTTGAGCAAAAATATACTTTGTTGCATAGCAAAGTCGATGTCATCGCGACTGATATCACTAATTTGGTTGAGTTTAAAACTGAGTATACGGACAAGCTTGAAGTGAAGTTAGAAAAGGATTCTCAAGTGTTTGAAAATATGGAACAATTTTTATCTGGTTTCAAGGAGTCTAATTCGAAAGTTGAACCTTCAAACCAATCAACAATCTGTCAAGCACCTATTTCTCAAATTATTTTGAATATTGAGTCCAATATCAAATCAGATCTTGCTCCAATCCTTAATTTGGTTCTTCATTTACCAATACTGCTCCACGTGCAGTGCAACTATCACAAAGGGTAGAGAAAGGATTTGTAGGAGTTGATTCTTCAAAAGATCTTGAGAAAGGGGTTGATGTTGGGAAAGTGAGTTCGACTCAAATTCTAACTTCACTTCCCATATCATTAACCACAACTTCTAGAACGATAACAACTACAAGAGCACTAACAAAACGAATCTCAATAAACGAAGGAGTTGGAGGTTCGAGTTTAATTTTAATTCCACCAACTTCGAATGATGATCAGAGTAATAAAGGAAAATATATTTCTATGCTTCCATCAGAAAAGGAGAAAAAAAGCAACAAGCTCTTGAAATCAAGAAGTAAAGGTAGATCAACAGTATCTTAAGGTGAAGAGCTAATAACCCACCCGACTTGCACAAGGGTAATCCTACCAAGAAATGGTGTTATGAAATGATTGAGGATGTTGTTTCAATTGGGTTGAATGATTACTTTCAAAAGGTGCCTAAAAAGAACTATGACATTGAGAATTCTGATTACATTCAACTTGATTTCCTGATCAACCACATGTTATTCATATATTCTCAGTTCAAGATTGTTGAAATTTTCAATGATAAAAATGAGTTTAAAAGACTGAAGATTTGTTTTCATGTAGTCTTGGGGAAAAACAAAGAAGATGTATGGTCACCTGTGAAGATAGTGAAGGTGATGACAATAATGTGTGACAACTTTTTCGAAAATATTCTACAAAATTTCTGTATGTGGTCTTCAGAGCAAACAATGTTGCTTGTGAGTTCATCATTGCTGATTTCTCATTAATTAGCTTAAATGACTTGATCACGGTCATAAAATTTTTGAGTAACATGGATGTTTCAAAGTTAACTGAGACCAACATGGATGATTTCATCATTGGTTTTTCTCATATCAAGGTTTTCATAGACAACTACTATGATTACTTGGCAATCACTGATATTAAGCTTTCTTCATCTTTCAAGAAACCTTTGAAAGTCCCTTAATCTTTGCTAAGAGGAAAGATTAACATTGATGATTATGAAGATTGTGAGATAATTCATCAACCTCTTGGGGTCGTGTTTCAAGGAAAGAATAGTAATGGGAGAATGAAAAAATTTTTGTTCCAAGTAAGTGATCTAGAGAGGTATACGAATTCTCAGTATACTAATCTCCATGTTCGAATTAACAACTGCAAAAAGAATGAAGTTGAAGGCAAGGCGAAGATACAAAAGACTATTTTGTGTTATATGGAGATTTGGAATGTACTTCTTCAAACTCTAAAGTTGATGGCATAATTTCGACTACTCTTACTAAGGGGGAGATTGAAGGGGTCGAAATGTTGATAGTGAGGATTCGAAATGGTACGAGCCTTTAAGGAGTTTAAATCCAAATGATTTTAACTATCTTTGTATTTTTAAGGCACTATTTGTATTCGAATCTAGAATGTTTAGTCCCTGTATTTTTTGATGAGTCTATTGTACCCTATAAATAGGGTAAGTACTAGAGTAGAGGGTAACTTTTGAGAACTTCTGATTGTAAAACACTCTCGATACTTTGTACTCTCTTCAGACTTAATACGGGCCAACCAGATTATATTTACATATTGTGTTCTTAATTATTTTTCTTGACTCGATTGTGTTTTAATCAAATATACCACACATCATATAAAGCAAGATTTGTGATTCGTGTCAAATTAAAAGAAATGAAGTTGGATTTAAAGGATGATAATAACGGGAAATTGATGAAGAAAACTGCAGTTGTACCAGATTCAAATTTCCATAATTTTGACATGGATCGATCAATAGAAGTGCTCAAAATAAGAAAATATAAGTGATGTATGAAGAAGAAGATGAAATTCCTCAAGTCTATTTGTAACACTACGTTTTCACATTTCAAGATAAAAAGATAAAAACCGTTGTTTATAAAAAATGAAAGTGAAAATACATTGCGTTTTTGCCAAAGTGATCAACATGAAGGTTGTAGTAGTCGTCAAGACGACGGTGTGGATATAAAGAACTTCGAAAACAAAGTTCGTATGAAGAAGTTATGATATTTATAAGATTTGAAGGATTTCATAAAAATCAACGTGACACAGTCTAAAGAACAACGACACGATGCATTAAATGCACCTGACTCCACTGGAATAATATTGGATACATGGGAAAAGAAATCTGACTGGGAAGAGGACGTTGTGCGACACCCTGTATGTCGTGGTGCAATGACCTATTTACAACACTATAAAAAGAGGCACAAGCCTGCTCATTTCTTTACACCAATCGCTCTTCAATAGTCTCTCTCTCCCTCTCTTTCTCTTTCTCTTTCTCTTTCTCTCTCTCTCTCTCTCTCTCTCTCTCTCTCTCTCCTTCGATTATTTAGGTCCCTCGTGATTTGACTTCTCGTTTTGTAGTATCATTAGCGAAGAACTGGATGTTTTGGAAGGATCCTTAGGTTAAGGATCAAGCGTCGAAGTTCTTATCGTGACTATTTAGATTTCGTTAATCGGGTAAGTTACACATTCGCTTAAGTATAACTTGATATGGAGTATACATGTTTTCATTATTGTTAACTTGTGTATTAGATTAATCATTCATCCTAATTATTATACTGATTGATCTACCTATGGGTAAAGTGTTTAGGACACAAATGTTGGTCTGGTTGTTAGATTTTAGAAAAGTTATATGTCGAAATGATCCTACCTCCCGGCTGTCTTGACTGACTAATCCTTATTTGATAATCATTTTAGTGTTTTGGGATTAATGAAGGATTTATTTAATTGTTATCGTATTCCTTAATTGTTATCGTATTCATATTTGGCATGCCTAGTTGATGGTTGGATTATTGATATAGTTGTTTAGGTGAGTTTCCTCATTATACCTTGTATGACAAAACAGATCTTTACATGATAGGATATAGGACATGTTAGTATATATACTTATTTTGGTAGAATAGATTAGTCTTATGTACGTTTGTTGTTTGGTTTTTTGGATGGTATCATGTTTGGGAGGGTTGATGACAGAACATTGAAGGGATGCAAGTCAAAGATACCCAAGGGGTTAAAGGAACGATGAAAGGCTATGTGCCAACTATTTGTTATGTTTGAGGGTTAGTGATGGAACGAAAAAGGGTTGCGTGTAATAGATGATGGATTTTGAGCATAACTATGAATCCTATGTGTTCATGCAACCCTAAATGAAGGATCTAGCTTTTCACTAGTTGAACATACAAACTCGAATACAAAGGAGAAACCCTGGTTCTATGTATTATACTCGAAATTCACTTAATAAATATTAAAATACATACCTTGATTATTATATTGTAATAACAATCTAAAAACCTTGCTTGAAAGACCTTTGGTAGCAAGCGCCACAAGTGTCGTGCCTCTAATGGCTCACAAACAAACCAAGAAACCAAGGAATACTTTAGAGAGAGAGAGAGAGAGAAGGGAAGTACAATTTCGGCACTAATCCTTTTCTAAGAGTGCATAGCCAAAATTCCTTATGGTGTAGGGTTTATATAGGTTTTAGGAAATATTAGATTAGACAGGTGTATCTAAGATAACCCTAATCCCTTAACTTCCTCCCTAAGGCATCCAATACACCCTTAGAGCCCAAGGAAACCCTATGAACACCTTAGGATTAGTTCCCCCCCCCCCCCTTAGGGAGGTTTTATAATGCTCAATGCTCAACTATTGAAAATTTTCACCTTTAGTCCCTACAGTTTCAATTAATTCCTTTAAGGGTTATCTATAGAAAAGTCCCAAACTTTTTTCAAAAGTTTCAATAAAGTCCTAAAAGTTTTTTTTTAATAGAAAAGTCCCAATATTTTGAAAAAATCATATAATCTATCATTTACTATTAAAATATAAAAAAGGACTTTTTCGGTAATTAAGGCAAAACATCAAAATATTGGGACTTTTTTATTCAAAAAAAAAAACTTTAAGACTTTATTGAAACTTTTGGAAAAATTTTGTGACTTTTCTGTAGATAACCCTTCCTTTAATCCCAAAATCAATTTATGATTAAATATTAATTAAAAATTATGATTTCAAATTAATATATTATTTCCATAATACATTAATAAATTATTTATTTTGATTTCTAATTAATTTATTAACCAAGTAATAAATTAATAAATTAATAAATCATTCTTCTCTCTCTAACAGTTATCCTATTCAATTGCCAGGTTTGAAGGCAACCCAAAAGGACATTGCTACTACCAATTCAAGTACATACCAATTATATTTATGGGCTTAGACACCTAATCTAACAGTCTCCCTCTTGGATAAGTCTAATAACTATAACTGCAAGTGTAACTTCTAAATTTTACTAGCAAATTGTAGCTACCAAATGCCGTTGTCGAACTCTAACCTAGTCAATGACATATCCATAGATAAGTGATCAAATATTCCCCCGTTCTACAAGATATCTTAAGGACATAAGACATGGTATATAATCATTCTCTCTATCCAATATTTGTTTCCCGATTTTTGATTTATGATGATTAATATCAGGCTACTAATCGATCACATGAATTCAGTTCAGGCTTGTCCAAGCGTTTTAGATGTCATCATCAAATCATCGAGGGGCCCACAGATATCGCTTTTTCCCGTTAAGGAAAAATGAACAGATAAACTTCGACTCATATGCTTCCACTATTCACTCATCAAATCACGCACAACAATGTGTTTTATAACATCGAGTTACTGATATGTTTATGTATTATCAATGCACAAGTAACCCGTAAACAACAACTCATATGTCTCCGTTTCAAGAATATAAGATATTATCGTCTCAAAAATTACCAGTGATAAAATTCATGAAGTAGTTCTCTGAGCATGGGTTAATTGAATACTCATGAATATTGTAGCAAACCATTGATATGTCTAACCCCTTAGACATTCTACAGTCTGATTCATGATTGTCTTAATTCACTACTTACTTCCAAAAGTACAATCGAGTATGGATGTTTTGAATAATCCAATTATTCGGGAAGTTATGTAACATCTGGATTCTCAGGTATATTAATTATGTGCTTATTTGGAGATTTATTGAGT